AATTCCTTTAAGCCATCCTCAACTTACAGTCCCATACATGCACAAATGCACAACCTCTGGATCCCTCTCATTCGGGTATTGATTCGATTCATTATGTACCCTTCCCGCAGGAAGCCTGCCAGGAGCCTACTGTCAAAGCCCTCCTACTTTAGCGAGTCTGGACTCCAGGCACTAGGATTTCAACTGGTAGTACAGTCCAACCCACATGCCAAAGGACTATCTACTCCCCGCCCTCGTCAACGCCCGGGATGTTACAATAAGCAAGCAGGCTAACAAGCAATGCAGAAAATAATTAATACCAGTGAGAATGACAGGTGAACAAGTTAAAATTTACAGAGATAAATGAGGCTAGAGCTAGTACACCACACTACATTATAAATTACACAATTTGAAGCCCCTAGGATTGGTCTAGTGGTGAGGGATTTGAGTAATGTGTATAAGATCATAGGTTCAAATCTCAGTGCCACCATTGTGTAAAAAAAAATTACCAATTTGAAAGGGAAAAAGCAAATAAAAAGTAATGCATGCAGAGTATGTAGTGTAGTCAAACTCTAGTTTCCACAATCGTCAAACGGAGATTCAAAATCAAATAGTGCATTGCAAAAGAAGACATACAGAAATCCGTAAACGGTTTCTTTGGTAAGTGCAGAAATTCTGCATACTCCTGTAGCCCCTCTTCGGTTTTGTGCAGCTGCAGTACCAAAGGCCTCCGCGTCACAATCCCTAAACATCAATCAAAATGCAATAATATAGAAGCATCGTTCACCAGAAAAAAGATAGTGCGATAAATAAATTTCACTGGATTTTTTTCCTTCACTATTCAAAATATCCTTCAATTTTCTTCTTCAACCACACCAAACAAGAGTTAAAAATAAAAATAAAAAAATCAAACCAACGGTTGAAGCAATGAAAGTAACCAACCTGATCCCCTGGGAAGAAAATCACGGCCAACAATGCTCTCTAACACCGAAGACTTTCCAGAACTCTGCATTCCGCACAAATAACAAGCACATATAGTGAGAAGAGAGCGCAACAGAACTATCTAGAAGGTGAATCGACTTAAAGCGGAAGAAAACAAAGGAATGGAGAAAAAAAAGAGGAATGAACCTGGCCGCCGACGACGGCGACGGAGGGAAGAGCTTCCCAGAGAGTAGGCAAAGCAGCATCGCCGCCATGGTCGCCGAGGACCGTACAGGCTCGCTGGATTCGATTGACGAGGCCGATCAAGTTCTCCATGGTAGCCATTGGTTCGTGTTCTGGTTCGGGTTCGGAGGAAGACGAAGCTGTGAAAGAGATGAAGAAGAATAGTAGAAAGAGTAGGAGGAGGAAGAGAAAAATCAGGGAAGCTATCTTGGTTAGTTCTGTGTTTTTGTTTTCTGTTACGTTACTCACGCTTTTCTTTCTCGGTGAATTTTTTAAATTTTGTGTTGTTTGCTTAGAGAGAGAGAGAGAGAGAGAGAGAGAGAGAGAGGAGTAGAGAGAGTGTTTGGATGATGGGGCCACGTAAGTGTTTGGATGGTGGACCCTCTTTGCTTTGGAACTGAACTGCTTCTGCTTTCCCGTTTCAACATTTAGTTTAGTCAATTCATTTTCTATTTTTATTATTTGACCTTCGGTTTTGGGATATTTTAAGTTGAGAGCTTTTGAACATGCTTCTGGCGGGACATTTTCATCTTTTTAAAAAAAAAATATGTATCGAAGTTTTTTTATTTTTAATAAAAGTATTGATGTTTTGCATTTTGATCTAATGTTTAAGAAGTATATATGCTATGAACTGCTTATACTATAAATTACTTAATCTTCTTATTATTTTGGAAGATAAGGATGGTTAACTTTAAAAATATGTGGTGATATTTGCTACTTCTTTTAACGTCTTTTTTTATTGTTTAAGAATGTATCTAATGATGCATGTTTAGTCTTGATTAATTTTTTAAGATAAATTAATTTTTTTTAAATTAATAATAAAGTTTTGAATATATATATATACCTTTTGGGTCCTTAATAAAAATCATTGAGTCATTTTAATATTTTAGGGGAAAAAATTAATTTGTGGTCCTTCTGAAATTTAAAATAGATCCAGTTAGTCAAAATCGTAGTCCTTCTGAAATTCAAAGAAGACACATGTTAGTTCTTCAAAGTCAAAAAAACTAATATGGATTTATTTTAAATTTCAGAGGGACCATGAGTTAGCTTTTTTCTAAGAGATTAAATTAGACCATGCGATAGTTATTGAGGACCCAAAATATACTTTACTCTAAAGTTTTAATGATAAGCTATTTTAAATATAAAAGAAGCTTTTATATATATATGTAATAAATGTGGGTATTAAATACTGTGCACCTATCTTTGAGAAGTAATTTTGTATTCTTAGTTACATCTAAATCATAATTATATGAAAGTGGATAAATAGTGATTAGGGCCTGCAAAACAAACTCGTTGTGGCGGCCCGAGTTTTAAAACCCGTCTAGCCCGCCCCGTCTAACTCGCCAACCTGTCGGGCTGAGATTTTTAATTTTTTTTAATGTGAAAGAGGTTTGGATCGACAGACTGAGTTTTTAATCCACTCTCAAAAGTGTGACAGGTCGCCCACCTTGTCTAGTGATAAGGGAAGAGAGGGAGAAAATAATAAAATTGATAATTATAAAATTATTATCATTTTTTTCGGTAAACCAAAATTATCATTATTAATTTTTTATATAGTTATAATCCTTCATATGATAATATCATGTTAAATAAAATATAAGATGATACATGCCTTACAATTTCACAAACTTTCACAGGTGACATTGTGAAGTGGATGAAAAAATAATAATTGTGGGAGCCTTTTGTGAAGCTTTTATACGTGAAATTGTCATTTTTTAAAAGAGAAACATATACCTATGATTTTAACATAAAATATAATTACAGTAGATACATAAAATCAAAACTGAAGACAAAATAAACAAAAAATAAGGGCAATTAAAATGAAAGAAAAAAAAGTAATATGTATTAAAAGTGACAGAAAGATATTCAAGGCATAAAAAATTGTTTAAATCTAAAAATTAGTAATTTTAATGCAAAACAAAATAAATCCAATTTATATGCAATAAATGTGGGTATTAAATACTGTGCGCCTATCTTTGAGAAGTATTTTTTTTATTCTTAATTACATTATTTTAATCATTAAAAATTATAAAAAAAAAGTTTAATGTAATATTTTTAATTTATCAAAAGATATATAATTACTTTTTAAAATCATTCTCTTTCTTATTTCATATAACGTAACCATATCTGCACATATTATTTAATTATAGAAGTTGAAAAATGTCAGATCTATTTAAGATATAATTTAAATAGATATGACTTTTTTTTTTGGTGGACTGATCTGACTATTTTTATTGGTGAATATACACATCTGACTTATTTCTTCAATATTAAGCTTGAATCTCTCATATTTATTTTATATATACCTTTTTTGGTTCAAATTAAAACCCTTTTTAAAAGTTCAATAATATAGCCTGAAAATCAATTTAATTCAGACTTTGCAAATTAAACATTTAAATAAGTACAAATAAATTAATGAACCATAACTTTTAAATAAACTAATAAGTCTATAAATTTAAATAAATCAATAATAGTAGTATTAGTAAATATAATAACAATAAAAATATTTCATGATAACAGACAAATTAGGCATTTTTAATAACATAAAATATGATTTTGTAGTTAAATATAAACTATGAGCATTATTCTTACAACCTACAAATTTTATAACATCTTATAACTTATTTCTTATCATTGATTTTCGTAAATTTAACGGTTATAATTTATTGAAAATTAATAATTAATTAATAAATATTACCAAATAAATTATAACAATGGTAAAAAAAAATATTGTAAGAAATTATAAATAAAAAGAAGTGGTAAGAATAACCATCTCTAAATAAACTTTTAAAAAGTTGAACATAACTAAAGAGGGAAAGCCAAGAATCTTCAAGAGGGGGTGTTATAAAGATATATCTTCTATGTAACTCTGTGGTATTTGTGGAATTGGAGCAATGAGAAAATACATGACTCAGGATTCACTAGACCACACTCGCCAAATAGTGTGATTCTCTCGTATGCCAATAATATTCACACAACTGGACATTGGGCAGGCCTGAAGTCTCCAATTAATTAATGCAGTACCCAAGCAGCAGTGTCTCCCAATGTTGGAGACTCTAGCTGATGGTTGGGTGAAAGTTAACTTTGATGGTGCTTTAAAGGGGAGGGGGTATCGAGGATGGCTGGTTGTGGAGCTATCATCCGTTAGGTTAATGGAAGCTGGTTAGGAGGCTTTTCAAGCTTAATTGTTGGCTTGGTCATTGGGCCTATAGAAAATTATTCTAGAAGGAGATTGTAACGATTTAATCTCCATGCTCACCACGTACGGTCATTTGGTGAATTTGTCTTAAGGGCTTCTCTTTTCTCATGTCACATGAGATATCATCTCTCATGTCATAGACACAATAAGTGGTGGGGCCCACCACTTATTAAAAAAGAAGAAAAAACTAAAAAGATAGCACGAATTTCAATGTCTCACAACATGAGAAAACTATCTCCTATTACATAAGAAAATGATTTCCCTTGTCTTAATTAATGAAGACATCATTGTTACACATAAATGTGTACTACTTCTTATTAAATTGTCATGTTGAGAGAAAAACGAATAAAGTAGTTTATGGAAGAGACTCCATTTGATGATATACAATCATCATGAACCTTATTGCAATTAATTTATAAAAAATTTAGCCATGTTTATGAGCATTATGATTGATATTTTATTAAATTGCAAAAATGACATTCATACATAAGCCAAGCGGGAAAATCATAAATTTAACAATGTGAAAATCATAAATTTTTAAAATCTTTATTCATGTTGTTGTTATGTGATTGTTGAACATGAACGGTTATAGAGAACCTATCCCTGTCTCAATTCCTAAAGAGATTGCTAGAATTTCGTCAAAAGTAGGTCCAATCCATCAACAAATTTCTCCCTCACCCCTTGAAACCTCAAGGCTATCACTTTTTTTATCTGCCTTGGCTTTTTTCTCATCAAGATAATGTTGATACATATATGACAAAAAGCCCCATATTGCTAACAGCAACGCTATAACCTTCACCCCATTGATCTTGTCATTAAAGAACATAACGGCAATGATAGGAACTATAGGCAATTCCAAGGTACTTATCACAATAGAGAATAATGAAGATACCTCAAAAATTAACCCCAACATACCAATGGAGGTTATTTGCCATGTCACAGCAGTCCAAAGCAGAGTCATTACATATGACACCCTTCCCTTTTCATATTCCTTCATCTCCTTTTCCAAAGTTTTCCATTCTCCACTTGCAAACAACCCCACAACACAAGCACAGGTAGCAATAAAGGAAGGGTACAATTGCATGTCCAAGACAGCAGAAAAGGTTTTTTTCTTTACAACTTTCTCAAAAGAAAGCTGAACAAGAGAGAGATATAAAGAAAATGTAGCAGATGCACCAAGGGTGCATAAGAATCCAATTATATGCTTTTCTCTGAAAAGACCTTTTGACTTATCAGAATCAGCATTGACTGCAAGCAGGGCAACTGAAGTGGTAAGGAGGACAATAGAATTGAATATAAATGCTGTCAACTTTTGGGAATTCAAGAAAAAAGAGAATAATGCATTGAAGGCTAATTCAGTTGCATATAATAGAGAATAAGTTGAAAGAGGGAGATATAGAAGTCCATAGGAATTCATTAAGTCATTCCCTGTCATAAGTAAGCCAAAAGCTATGTAGAGGGAAACTAAGGTGGGAAATTTTGGTTTGGTCTTTGAGGAATCATTGATGGTAATATTATTAAATTTTTCATGTGGTGGGAAGTAATAAAGAAATGGTAGTAGTATAGGGAATCCAGCTGATTGAACAAATGTTACCATCCATTTGCTATTACCACCTTTGTCATAGTATAACCTTCCCAAAAGAGTGGATGCAGATTGGCCTGTAAGAAGAAAGATTGTGTACAAGGATACACGAAACCACCGTTTGTGTTCTTTGATGTTGAGGTTGCTGAGCAATTGTGTTTCTGTGTATGTTGTGCCACTTTCTGTCATCTCTGAGGAATACATGTGTACAAGAAACTGAAATTAGTTATATGACTTTCTTTATGGTATAATTTAGAACAAATTCAAAGTTGAGAGGGATGCCAGAGGACACTGTTTCTTGAGCTTAAGAGGTTCCCCAAATCCTTATATTAATTAATAGACTCTAGGTTCTTAAATAATAGAATTAAGGTGAATTGAGTTCTTAAACCTTTGTTTATTTATGCCAATAAAATCTTTCTTTGTCATGGTTTTAACTCGATAGTCTCTCTTCAACTCCTTAATAATTTTTGGTTTTATAATAATTACTAAATAATTTATTGAATATTTCTATAAAAAAAGTCGAATAAATATAATCAGCAACCAATAAAATAGGCAGAAAGTTATCCTTTATTGTGCAGTTTATTCTTTAGCGTATTTTATAGTGATTTTCACCCATCAAATAGTTTTGTACGTGAGTGTGTGTGTAGGATTTTTTTAATGTGCTTCTGGAGCACAATATATTTGATATTCCTTTATAAAAAAAAGAATTTTTTCTTTCATTTATATCCCTTTCTTTCTTCTAAATCCCGGCTTTTTCATCACTATAGTCTTTTTTTAATAATTAATTATCAAATTGACTCTATTTATAAATTATTTCAAAAATTTAACCTCTTCAAAAAACATAACACCAATCTGCCCTTGTTTGACCGTTGACTATGAAGCCTACCCGAGTACACTCCTCCCTACCCGGATATATTTTGAAATTTTTTACCTACCCGGGTACACCCCTCCCTACCCGGATATATTTCTTGAATCTGAAAAAAGTTTGAATTATTTACCCGAACAAAGAGGAATGTACCGGGGTAAATAATCATACCCTGCCGATTGATTATTTATATGATTATGGGTTATAAAGAAGCAGAGCAAATATGGAATATTATGGGAATCTCATCATACAAAAGTCAGTAAAATCAAAGGTGATATTTTCAGCTAAATGTTTGATGGCTTGTTGGGTCAACTTCTCTTTGCAAGAAGACAAATCCTACCTGCGCACACTGAACAAAAGTAATCAGATGGGTTAGTCAAAAATAGCTATAGAAAAGAGGAGGGAAAGTTGGTAGCTTTAGAATCTTTTTTCTAAGCATGAAACAAGAAGGTGCAAGGATCAAAGAGGCTCAAAGAAATCAAACATTAAAAGGGGAAGGTTTATCTCTACAAAGCCTAAAGATGCTATATAATCAGAATAAGGGTGCAGGCTTTGGAGCAGAAGATTGTCATGGCTAATGTTAAAAAAAAAAATTACTGGATAACAAAGGAAATTCCAATAGAGGATGGGAAGCGTGAAAGGATAGGGAGCAGGAATGGAGCATGGGAGAGGATATAGAAAAAGACCCAAGCTTGGTCAACCTTGGCAATAACCCACATAAAAAACAAACTATGTCTAAAGTATGATAAAAAGAGAGGCATCAGGTTTAAAAAAAAGAAAAAAAAGGAAGAAGCCATGAAGAGGGCGCGGAAGTTATTTTTATATAAGGAGGGCGATCGATTAAAAAAAAAAAGGGAGTGATATTTTTATTTGAGTGAAGAAAAACCAAGGGAAGAGGGGAAGAGACCTACCCATTCTTCCATCCTCAACCACCATTAACCTCACAATTCCCTTCATCATGGAAGACAAAAAAAAATGAAAAATTAGAGTTGGAGGAGAAGAGAGAATACAGGTACTGAAAGAAGAAAGGACTCGTAGCTCCTTCTTGAACACACCATCATCCTTAGTTTTAATAGTCTCACTGTCACCGCAAACTCAAATCACTAGTACCAGAAGCCTCATAACATAGACCAGAACCTCTTCTAAAAATATATGATTATTTATCCGGGTATACCTCTGTCTACCCGCCGGGTAAATAATTCAAACTTTTTTCAGATTCAAGAAATATACCTGGGTAGGGAGGTGTGTAACCGGGTAGGTAAAAAATTTCAAAATATACTCGAGTAGTGAGAGGTGTACTCAGGTAGGCTTCATGGTCAACGATCAAATAATGGCAGATTGATGTTATATTTTCTGAAGAGATTAAATTTTTGAAATAATTTATAAATTAGATTAATTTAATAATTAATTATAAAAAAAAAAAAGCCTATAATGACGAAAAAGCATCTAAATCCCCTTTCAATCTTTTTCCTTTTCTACTTTTGGAAAAGGAGCACAAACTCTCACAGCATAATAAATGAGCTCCGGTGTGTCAAACGTGAGGAAACTATTTTGGAGTAGTGAAAAGTGGTTATTTAGAAAGAGGTGGAGATATTTTATAATAAAAAAAGGACCCTAACTTTTTTTTTAAAGAAAATTTTTATTATTTCACATTTTGCTTGCCAGAGTCTCTATTGCTTAAATAAATATTAAAGGAAAAAGTTATATTTTCAGACTTTTTATTTACAAATAATATTATGCTTTATTGATAAGATATTCTTGAGTGAAATTTTACTGGTAAGATATAATATAATTTGTAAAAAAATTTAAAAATTTTTTTGTCAATATAATCATTCTCAATATTAAATAAATAAAATTTGAGAAAATATCCGTTTATAATTTTTTTTTTTTATAAATTACATTAAGTATGACCAGTCATACACTCTTAATTGAAATATGAATGGTTATACTTCGTGTAGTTTGTAAGAATTTATAAATAAAAAATTTATAAATATATCATTCTCCTTAAAATTATGTAAATTTTAATAGATACCACCTTTAAGAAGAGGAGAGGACGATGTCGTCATAGTAACAAAAAGTTTTATAAAAAAAGAAAAAACTGATGAAGACAAAAAGAAAAAAGAGGTGACGGACCTTTGTGCATGTAATCTTTTTACCTTCTCTTGAGTTCACCGTAGATATCATCTTCTTGTTCGATCGCTTTGTGCATGCAAGAAGTACTTCTTTTTCATTCCTCCTACGTACCTAGACCGAGGAATTATCACAAAATTGCCTAACTACTCCATCTCTCCATCCCTTTCCTACCCTCCAAAATGAATCGGAACCGTCAAGGCCTTCTTTTTCTTTTCTTTGGATCCTCCTCTCACACCTGTTCGTTGAAGCATGCACCTAATCAAGTGAAGGTACGTAATAGAGTGCTAGCTCACCCACCATCACACGAAGAGTCTCGCCAAGTAGAAAGAAAGTAGAATTAATTAATTGATCATAGTTAGTTTGGATGTGTGTGACTATTTTAATGGGATCAAAGGCTGTTTGCAAGACTATTTTGGTAGTGTGATCTCCAAGTGATGATGTTGATGTATTTTGAAAACGGAGAGTGGTTCAGGTGTATGTTATTTTTGGTTTACACGATAACATTCACCAAGTTCAAGTTTAAACCCATGTAGCTTTTCCTTTTATTTTCATATTAAAAATAAAAAGAACAAAGGTCAGGTTAGTGAGTTGAAATGATGTTGGCGGATTAGGAAACTAGGTTAAAGAATGGACAAGTTAGGTAGAGTTAAAAAGGTTGCATGTTCTCTTTATTTGTTTATTTCCTTTTAAAATGTGATAACGAATGGAAAAGTTAAATAAGATTAGAAAAGTTAGGTGGGACTAGAAGGTGTACGTATACGTTTTTTTAGTTTGCTTTTAATATGCTTTGTTTACATATTTTATTTTAAAAATATATATATGCTTTGTTTATGTTCTCACAATGATGTGTTGTTTACATGTTAATCAAAATCGCTGTTCTTAATCCGTTTCATCGTAAATTTGGTCCGCATTAATTTGTCCTTTGCTTTATTAAAAAGAAACTGATTTTTTTTTTTTTATAAACAAAAGAAACTGATTTATAGTAAGGAAGGGCCGTTTATTTTTATTTTATTTTATTTTATGTTCAGATTTAACTTGTTATTGTCTCGTTAAAGAAATTGTTTAGTTTTAAAGTGTGTTATGTGTTAGCGTTTTTTTTTTAAAAAAAATGTTAAGAGATTCACGTTATGTATAGTGTTTTTTTTTTAGTATATTTCTCAAGGGTATCGATATCCCCACCTCATTTGCGGATGAGACTAATCTCAGGCGAGTACTGTCGGACCCTTACGGGAGAACTCTATCCAATCCGTACTGTCATGTATAGTGTTTTTAACTTGTTGGTAGGATAGTTAAAAATATTTTGTTTGATTTCAAAGATGGAGTGTAGTGTAGAAAAAAAAAAGTATTAAAATTCCGTTTGCTTCTGTGGACTGTGGTACATGTAGAGAAATATAACAAAGTTTTGGATCCCTTTTCTCATGTCGGTTTTGGTTCCAATGCAAAAGTGTACATTCTGCTTACTTGATCTCATAACATGCTTTAAAAATATTATTTGATTCTGGGTACTTGGCGTTAATTAAAAATGGTAAAAAGATTTTTTTTAACTTTTTTTTTTTTGGTAAATAACTTTTTATTTTAACTTATCAGTAACTCTATATTAAGAGATTTTGTTTGTGATAGGTAAAGATGTAAATAGGCTGGACTAGGCTTTGTCTTAAATATGTCAAGTCTGTGTAAAAAATATCGGGTCTGACCTGACCTGTTAACCTGTGTATACCCTGAATTACAAGTCTGGTCTGACCTATATTTAAAAATAAAAGCCTTGGCCTAGGCCTGTTAGTCTGTTTAAGCCTATTAAACATTCAACAATTAAAAGAATAATTAAAATAATATTACTTTATTATTCAAATTTATTAAAATAATTATTTTAGTTATTTTATTTAAAATAAATAATATGATATAGGCCGGCCTGTAGGCTTATATGCCCGATATGTACAAAAAAAGCCTATGGCCTATTTTCTAAATAGGTTTTTTTAAAAGCCTAAACCTGTTCTATTTTACTATTTGTAGCAGGCTAAGTCTGACCTAATATAGGCTAGGTCGTAGGCCCCTGTAGGCCGGCCTAACCCATTTACACCCCTAGTGATAGGTTACATTCCCTGTTTTCTATAATTTCTAATAAAAGGCATTATTTTTCATCATTTAAATTACTAATGAAAAATTAATCCGTGCAACAATCGATAATGTTGATTATATGGCTAGTCAT